GAGTCTGCTCTGAAACATCAATAAATTCAAAGGTGATTCAAGTGTAACTTTCCAATGACAATACAGCTTGATGTATTCAGGCTTATAATACTAAGAAAACTATAATACTAAAACTTATAATACAAAAAAATAAAATTAACAAAGTACTTTTTTCAATGCAACTTGCAGAATGTCAGCTACTGCTAACATGAACATTCCTTTATTATATCTGTGATTTAAACAGAAAGGTAATGCAAAGTATTCTATGTAATAAAACTAGGATCACATCCTCAACAGAGGTGGTTGGTTTGTTTTGGTATTAGAGATTGAACCCAGGGATGCTTAACCACTAGGCGACATCAATTTAAAAAATCCTTTTTATTTTTTAGTTTGAGACAGAGTCTTGCTAACTGCTTAGGCTGGCTTTGAACTTGACATCCTCCTGCTTCAGCCCTGAGCTGCTGGGATTATAGGTGTGTACCACCATGCCCAGCTCAACAGATGTGGTTTGGAGCGTGCTTGAAGAAGTATATTTTAATGTTGCAATTGCAAGAGAGGAAAACACTTTGGATTAGGAGTTTGTATTGGAAGAACAAATAAATACACTGCTTTCATCATCAAGAAAAATCTTGCTATCAAAGGAAAACTAAAAAATAAAGCAAAAAAATGAAGACACTATACTTAGTAAAGTAGTAAAAGTTGAGAATTATGTAAGGGTAGTATACTTAATTAAAAAAAWTTTTTTTAATTGAAGGTAGACACGATACCTTTATTTTATTTATTTATATGTAGTGCTGAGGATTGAACCCAGGGTCTCACACATACTAAGTGAGTACTCTACCACTAAATTATTCTCTTAATATTGATCAACTAAAAACTTGTATGCTGAGGTATAATGGTTATGAAAGGAAAAAAATTCTGTTGAGAATGATGAACTACAAAGTAAACAGTGTTTTTAATAGGGAAAAAAAGACAGGTGGGCAGGGRTTATGGCTTCAGTGATAGAGCACTTGCCAGGAATGTGTGAAGCCCTGGGTTCAATTCTCAGCACCACATACAAATAAATAAATTACATAAAGGTCCATCAATGACTAAAAAAAATTAAAAAACAAACAAAATCTCAGATGGTCCCCAATTAGCACAATTTGCTTCAGCCATTATTGTTTTAAATAATCTTATTATTTTAAATAATCTTAGTTCTTCTATGCAAGAAAGCAATTCATCATACTTTTCAGTAGCAAATAAATTATAAGGGTAAAAATGAGTTATAAGCCTGAAGGAAAAAAAGTTTCTACATATTGACATGTTTCATAGAATGTTTTCAATTATATTTCCTATCAAAAGGATTTCCATGGGCTGGGGCTGTAGCTCAGCGGCAGAGCACTTGCCTAGCATGTGCGCGGCACTGGGTTTGATCCTCAGCACCACATACAAATAAACAAATAAAATAAAGGCATTCTGTACACATATAACTACAAAAAACTAAAACTAAAAAAAAAAAAAAAAAAAAGAATATCCATGCAGAGGAAATTCATGCATCCAGAATTCTTTATTTCCCCCATTAAAACATATCTTAAATTTAATTCTAACTTCCATGGGATAAATATTAGAAATGGCCATTTATATATTTTTTAAAATGTCTTTATTTTTATGTGATGCTGAAGATCAAAACCAGTGCCTCACATATGCAAGACAAGTACTCTGCCGCTGAGCCCCAATCCCAGCCCCAGAAATGRTTATTGAAGAAGAATTAAAGATGAAGCTGGGCGCAGTGATGCACATCTGTAATCCCAGAACTCAGGAGGCTGAGACAGGAGGATCACAAGTTCAAAGCCATTCTCAGCAATGATGAGGCACTAAGCAACTCAGTGAGACGCTGTCTCTAAATAAAATACAAATAGGACTGGGGATGTGGCTCAGTGGTAGAGTGCCCTTGGGTTCAATCCCCAGTATCAAAAAAAAAGAATTAAAGATGAACTTTGAAAATACAATAWCATTAGTTTCATTCTGCATAAAAGTAAAAATAAAAATCCTGAACTTAATGAAACTGCTTTAAAGTGTAGACTTCCATTCCCATGAAAATATACTGAGTTTCTTTATGATGACTGGAATTGGGGGGGTGGGTTGTTTTGTGGTGACGGGGAGTCAAACCTAGAACCTCAAGCATGGTAGGCAAGTACTTTACCACTAAGCTACATGCCCAACCCTGAACTATATATATATATTTTTTAAAAGAAAACCAACACAAATCCAGACACGAGGATGCACAMCTGTAATCCCAGCTACTCAGTAGGCTAAGGCAGGAGGATCCCAAGTTCAAGGCCAGCCAGGGCAAAATTAGCAAGATTCTGTCTCAAACAATAAAATAAAAAGGCAGCCAGGCAAGGTGCTATACACCTGTAATTCCTATGATGTAAGAGGATTAGGAGTTCAAAGCAGCCTCAGCAATTTAATGAGGTCCTGTCTCAAATCAAAAAATAAAAAGGGGGCTGGGGATGTGGCTCAAGTGGTAGCACACTTGCCTGGCATTCGTGCGGCCCARGTTCGATCCTCAGCATCACATACAAACAAAAATGCTGTGTCCGCCGAAAACTAAAAAATAAATATTAAAAAAAATTCTCTCTTAATAAATAAATAAATAAAAATAAAAAGGGCTGGGATGTTGGGCTGGGATTGCGGCTCAGCGGTAGAGCGTTCCCCTATCATGTGTGAGGCCCTCGGTTTGATCCTCAGCACCACATAAAAATAAATAAATAAATAAAATAAAGGTGTTGTGTCCAACTACAACTAAAAAATATATATTTAAACAACAACAACAACAAAAAAGGGCTGGGATGTTGAATGATTTCCTACCATGTGCAATGTCCTGGATTCAATCCCCMAATATAGGAAATAAGAAGAAAAAAATAAAAGAGGAAAGGGGCACAGAAATAATAAACATATACATTTCCCACAGGATAGTCCTGTGACCAATCCAACTTATATTAGACAAATTATAAAAAATAAATTCTCACAATAGAAACTTTAAATATTAAAACAGTATTATTCAGAATGTGTGTCTGATGTTTGAGAACTAATATTTCACTCTATTTATTTTGTTTCAATTACAGAATAATAAAAGGTGCAACAGTGGTTCTTATCTGTATTAATCATCCACGTTCACACTTTCAATGAAAAGCCTGTATTCTTTTCAAATTACTTAGGGTTTTTTTTTCTCTATTGTAGTGGAGCTTAAATCCAATGCCTTGCATGTGCTAGATAAGCACTCTCCACGAGCAATAAATATCCCCAGACCTTTTTATTTCATTTTGTGATGGGGCTCGCTAAATTGCTGAGGCTGGTCTGAAACTTGCAATCCTCCTGCCWCAGCCTCTTGAGTAGTGGGACTATAGGCAAGAAATATCATATATCGTTGCTTTGATTCATTTTGTCTCTAATACTGAAATGGAATTTTATGTTTGTTGAATATTATCAAAAACTGGGGCTTGTATTTTATATATCTTTTAAAATTATTTTTCTAGCAATTTCTTTTTATTGTGTTTTACAAAAATATTTGTCTGCAACACATTGAACAATTTAAATCATAAAAGAGTAAACTAATGTTAAATTTACTKATGTAAGTGCTATATTAGGTTACAAAGAAGAATATCTTTGTTTTTAGGAGACATGTTAAAATACTAAGAAGGAAGKMTKACRATGTAKMWAAGKCRKTMKCRGAYGGCTCCTAYAWGSKTAAAAMAAAACAAAAAACAAATAAATCCATATAGTAATAGAGAGGCAAAACATTAGCCATTGGTGGATCTGACTACAGTGAGTGTTGTAATATAACAGTTAATACCAAATTCTGTTTTCCAAAATGTATTTTCACTGTATATAATACAGTTGGCCTTCTGTATCAGTGGGTTCTACATCTGGTAGATTCAACCAAGTATAGATAGAAAACATTCAGGAAAAAAAAACTGCATCAGTGCAGAACATGTACAGACATTTTCCTTGTCATTATTCCCTAAACAATACAGCTATTAACATAATATTTACATTGTATTAGGTATTATAAGTAATTTGGAAGTGATTTAATTTATATAGGAGGTTATACTTAAGTTATATGCAAAGACTATGCCATTTTTATTTGAGACTTGAGCATCTACAATCTTTGGCATCCTCAGGAGGTCCTGGAACCAATCTCCCACGGATACTGAGGGATAACTGTAATTGTCAGAAAACAGGTATCATTTTCAAGAGTAATTTCAGCCCAGGTGTAGTGGCATTGTAAATTCCAGCAACTCAAGGGCCAAGGCAGGATTGTGAGTATAAAGACAGACTTAGCAACTTTAGCAAGGCCTGTCTCAAAACAAAAATGCAAAAAGGCTGGGAATGTGGCTCAGTAGTTAATCCCCAGTACCACACACACACACAAAAAAAAAAAAAAAAAAAAAAAAAAATTAGGGGAAAGTCTATTTTCAGAGAGTTCCTAATTTGTTACTGTCAAAGAAAATAAATGAAACCAACTACAGAATTACTTATTGGCATTTCATTTGTTCTCATTTAGCTCAAAATGATAGATTTGCTGTTTTCACATAATAAATTTAAGTAAATGAGAGAAAATTCCAGGCATGTAGCTCTCTATAACAGCCAGAAGGCTAAAGTTGTCATGACACTAAGCCCTACTATTTTCCTAAAGTATAGTAAACAAACCTTACAACCCAATTCAAACAATAATACTGAGGAAGGAAACAATACTGGAATCAAATTTCTCTTTTCAATTCTTATCTGATTTCAGAGACCTCACTGTGGATTCTATTTCACAGTTGAGGAAAGTAACAGAAATGACGACTTATGCAAAGTCACAAAGCACAGCAATGAGCAAGTAGAAATATAAACTCTTCTGATTTTAGTTGGACTGAGGCTGTATTGCTATGGTGTGCTGATTTTAGTTGGACTGAGAAAAGATGTCTAATACCATTTAGAAAGTTGCTCATTTTGAAAAGCGTAAATTTTAAAGTTTGTAAAGATTCTCTTACCTCACTTCTTCACCAGCAAAATCAAATACTTTGGTGATTTTAACTTTTTCGGTTTCTTTAGGTTTCTCTATCTCCTCTGCTTTGACCAACAATTTACTTGAACTCATCTCTTCAGTCTCCTCTCCTGTCTATGGAAAAAAGCAAGAAATGCAATTAGTTTCATCAAAGTATGAACCTATAAGAGTCATCTAAACATGCTGCTTATGGTTATTCTCAATGTTTCATCTCTAATTACTCAATGATTTCTTTATTGGGAATTTATTTGATTAAAAGGCTTCAGGGTTTTTTTGAAGAACAGCTGAGATGTGATCCCAAGGCAATTTTTTTTTTTATTTTAGTTGTAGTTGGACACAATACCTTTATTTTACTTATTTATTTTTATGTGGTGCTGAAGACTGAACCCAGTGCTTCGCACATTCTAGGCAAGCACTCTACCACTGAGCCACAGCCCAGTGCCCCCAAGGCAATTTTTAAAGTTTGAAATTTGTGTCCAGTAGGTAGTTTTATTTTAAGGCAATATAATTGGAAAAAAATAAACTCACTGTCATCAGTGAACACTGTCTGTAAGTCCACCATATAGCTTGTCCTTAAGCTGATTTTTCAATAATTGTCTTTCTGTTCTAATCTTACCCTTTCTGTTCAAATCTTAATATYTGTTTTATTTTATTAGAACATTATAATTATACATAGTAGCTGAATTCATCCGGACAAAATCACATGCATAGAATTTGATTTCAGTTCATGATCTCCTCTCTTCCTCCCATCCTCCCCCATCCCCTGCTCTGCACTGCTTCTCCTTCCTCTACTCTGCTAGATTTCCTTTTGTTCATCTATTTTTATTGGTTCTTTTTAGTTATACATACAGGGGAAATTCCCTGTGGTGTATTTATATATACACATAGCATGATTTTTTAAGAATTCACTCCGTACTGCCTCCCCTTTCCTGTCCCTCTGTTCTGCCTCTTGATCGTCTATGCTACTGATCTTCCTATATCTTTATGTTATCCTATCCTTACTTCTTCCTTTCCTTTATTTTACTCTAACTTCCACAAATGAAAGAAAACATTTGACCTTTGAGTTTCTGAGTCTGGCTTATTTTACTTAGCATGATGTTCTCCATTTCCATTAACTAGCAAATGCCATAAATTCATTCCTCTTTATGGCTGAGTAAAACTGCTTTGTGTATATATACCATAATTTCTTCATTCATTCATTTATTGACAAACATCTGGGTTGATTCCATAATTTAGTGATTACGCAGCTATTAACAGTGAGGTGGCTGTATTGCTATAGTGTGCTGATTTTAGTTCTTTTGGAAAACCAACAAAGTGTAGGATAGCTGGGTCACATAGTGGTTCCATTTCCAGTTTTTTTAGGAATCTCCATACTGAGAAAGGCTTCTTTTCATAAAATATAGAGTGCTTTTGCTTTCCACTAGTAAAGTTACTATCAAAAGGCATCTATCTAGTCTGCTTTCTGTTTAAGATTCAAATCTCAGTTTATAAATTAAAAAAAAAAAAKTATCTGGGGAACCCTAGGGTATTTCTGGAGATGCTATCATACCATTCATCTCCAGCCTTACCTTCACCTGTGTACTAGAGGGCAATTTTGATTTTGGTCCCACGTCRTTGAGGAAGCTGGCCCAGAGCTCATCCTCCTTCTTTTTCCTTGCATCCTCTGATCCAGTCCCTTTTTCCTGTTCTTCTGTTTCATCTTCCTCCTCACTGCTACTTCCTCCAGATTCAGCCTTGGCATCTTCTTCTTCCTCTTCTAACAAGAGGCCACTTTGTTTTCTCTTCCTAATCATCAATAGTCACAAGAAAAGCAAGACAAGACAGATAAGGCAAAATGTTTTGTTACCCCTTCCTCAATTCCAAATGTAATTCTGTATACCTAAAAAAAAAAWTTTAGATCTGGGACTACTAGATCTAAGGGGGTGGGGAACAGAAAAGATAAACTAAAATTTTATAGAAGAATTGAGCTCTTACTGTTAGCATCTTCCCCAATCACTTGGAATCATTATATAGTGTTCTAAATCAGGACTAGCTATTTTCATTTAAAAACAAACAAAACAAAACCCAAAATCACCTCACAGAATTAATCTGTTCAAAACAGTATTTTTGTTTTTGAACTGGGGATTGAACCCAKAGGTACTTTACCATAAGTCACATCCCCAGTCCTTTTTTTAAATTTGGAGACAAGGTCTAAGTTGCATAGGACCTTGCTAAGTTGATTAGGACCTCGCTTAGTT